GACAAAATAGCCTTGCGATACGGCGTGGCTGACTTTTAGCTAACGTTATTGTGGTTGTTTATTTGTTGTTATTTTTATGTTGTTGTCGCCTGTTTTTGTTGGTTGTTGCTGTTGTTTGTTGTTGTTGCTTGCTGTTGTCGCTTACTGTTGTTGTTTGTTGTTATTTTTTGTTTTTGTTTGCTGCTGTTGTTTGTTACTGCTGTTCGTTGCTTTTGTTTGTTGTTGTTGTTTAATGTTGTTGTTTGCTTTTTGTTGTTTGCCGTCGTTTGGCGTTGTTGCTTATTGTTGTTGTTTGCTGTTGTTGTTCGTTACTTTTGTTTGTTGCTGTTGCTTACTGTTGTTGTTTGTTGCTGTTGCCTTGTTGTTGTTGTTGTTGTTATTACTGTTTGTTGTTGTTTGTTGTTGTCGTTTTGTTGTTGTTTGCTGCAGTTGTTAGATGCTTGTGTTTGCTGTTGTTGTTGTTGTTGCGTATATATTTCCGAGGGGTGTGAATCGGCTGCAAACCCTGTTAACAAACACGACCAGTGGTCAAATTTTGTAGAGGCTATAAATCTATTTGGTTGTTCGAAAGTCAGTGATGAATTTGTAGTTCCACTTTTATGCGTGTCTTCTAGCAAAAGTTTATTTGCGAAAGTTTTACTATTATGTATCGTTTCAAAGACCGGCTTTATGCACCTTCGTTCCGTGTCGCTAATTTATAATGCAAATAGTGTTTATGAAAACATATGTTCTTTCATTGATAAGCTAACATGAGTTTGTTACAAAAATTTATTCAAACAATACCTCAAACTCTTCATCTTTTTCGAAGCCGTAATAGTTGGCATCGGGCCCACATGTATTCGTTACTGTGAATACAGACTTCGTAATCGTATCGAACCAATTTTTTTTTTGCAGTGAAACGCCGCCGAATAAAGTAACCTCACTCTTGACAATGGATTGTTTTCTCCGGACAATCTACATCAGCCGCTACTATACTGTGGAACATCGAGGATCCACATCGCAAAGACAAGTGGTTGAGCGATTCGAACCAACTCGACTGTAAGAAGGACGAAGCCGTCAGAACGTTGCCCGAATAGCTCTTTGTGATAACTTCGTGTTAGGTTATCAATAAAAACAGCATAATGATTATGCGTACCAAAGTTAAATAAAGGTAGACTTTCAAAATTATTATTCTGGTGACAATTTTAAAGACTGGGATTTTAAATGCGAAAAAAACAGTTTTCTCAAATCAACCTCAGCCAATTCAAAATCGTATCTACGTGGTGTGAAGGGCACGAAACCTAGAAGAAGTTTGAGGCCGAAGAACTATTAACGAACGTAAAAAGGTATGCTGGTTTGAAATATTTCATCGCGAGAATTCGACCTTGAAGATGAATGCGGTCTCCAACGTCCTCTTGGTATTGCCGACAATGAATTAAGGAGTTTAATACCAGAAAATGCACACACAACTATTAAAGACATGCGGAAGAACTCATTTTAATCAAACCAACTGTTCAGAGTACCTTAAAAAATTAAAACGTGGAGGAAGCTCGTCAAATAAGGCCGTAGGAATTCAGTGGCGACTGAAAAATTATATTACGCGCAAATTAGAGGGTTGGCAATGGGACAGCGACTGGCACCAACCCTTGCCGTTGCCTTTATGTCTAAAGTGGAAGCACCAGTAATCGATCTCACGCCATTACTCTACTGTAGGTATATAGATGATTGTTTTGTCATCTGCTCTACACAAGAGGAGATGGACAAATGCTTTAAGTTATTGAATGAACAGTCAGAGTACATAAAATTCACCCGTGAGGAACCGAAAGAAAACTGGCTTCCATTTCTAAACCTTCAAATTAACCTATCCGAGAACGGCTACAACACAAAATGGTATCGAAAGCCAAGCAGTAAGAATATAGTGGTCCACTACCGCTCCTCTCACCCCTCACACACTAAAAGAGCGCTTATAAGAAATATGTTTCGAACCGCCGCCAGCGTGTGCACAGGTAGAGAGCAGAGGGAAGAAACCTCGAAACTGGCGCGGCAAATAGCCATTTCAAATGGTTACGAAACTGTAGCTTCTCAGGATAGGCATCGAGGAAATCCCACTCCCCAGAGCGATAATTCTAGCGAAAATAAGGCTCCGTTCCTGTTGCCCTTTATTTCAAACGAAATAAGTGCAGCTATAAAACGCTGCTTAATAAGGGCCGGTCTAGAGAATTCCGTAAGAGTGATAGAAATACCACCGGACACTCTAAGACGCCAGCTAGTTCGCAACCGCCTGTACGAGCGTCTATGTACAACAAAAAACTGCATGATTTGCCCAAATGGTAGAGACGGTGATTGCATGAGTTCGGGTACAGTCTATCTGATCTCTTGTAAAGCGTGCGGGCACGAATATGTTGGCGAAACGGGTAGACCGTTCTGCGTCCGCATAAAAGAACACTTAGTCGGTAAATCTAAATTGAAGCCAAACACTCCACTAGGCGCGCATAGGATGCAGGAACACAACGGAGAAGATTTTGAGGTAGGAGTCACTATCCTTACGCAGGAATCAAAAACATCAGCGCGTAAAACTCTTGAAGCGTTTTGGATCAATGCCAAAAATTCAAAAATGAACCGCAAGGAGGAGTGTCTTGTCATCACGCGTGACCTGGCGCCATACCTCAAGCTAATCCAATGACCTGACAGGGATATTCCTCGCCCATGTATTACTCTATGCGGTGACTATCCATCAACTAACTTAAATACTTACAACAAATAAACGGTAGGTGTTTAAATGAAGCTGTTTCTTATGTGAATGCAAATCGAATTGTCAAGTTTTATCTGCTAGGGTTGTGAAAGTGTTTGGCTGAGTAGATCACATCTCAATTTAACCTTTCCAGGCTCTGAAGAAGGCGAAACCGCCGAAACGTCAGCAATTGTGTTCTAATAAATTCTATATTAACAACCTCGTGTCTGCTTATTGATGAAAAACATTGAATTATCAATTAATGCCGAGGTTAACAGAAAGTCGGTCTTGGGACTGAAAAATTGCCGCCCCGAAGTACCATCGGCCCTTCTTTTGCGTAACAAGGCCAACTTGTTTTTCGATCTTGTTATGAGCAGAAATGAAGGGCGCACTCTGCTCAGGTCAGCTCCTCTTGAAATTCTGAGAAACGCATGCTAGGGTGCTCTCACGTACATTAGAGGGAGTGGGCTTGTCCAAGACATGTCTGGTACCAATTCCCCGAACCCGAAAGGAAGAGACGAGGGGTGGATCCGAATCGGGGTTTAACCAGGGCCTGAAATAGTTGGTCCACGCAATGAGTAGGATCAATATCATCCCACCATCCGTTTCCATTAAACTACGCTTTAGAAAAGTTATTACATTTAAGTAGAAAGATACAGCAAACTCTGTACTATAATAACGTCTTATTCTCAACTTATCCGTCATTCTCGGTACGAACATCATTGGAAGTTATCGGCAAACCCCAGGACCAACTTTCTATTAACCTCGGCATTAATTACAATAATTCACTGTTTTTCTTTAGTGAGTAAACACGAGGTTGGTAGTATATAATATCTATTAGCACGCAAGAGCTAACGTTTCGGTAGTTCCACCTTCTTCAGAGCCTAGAATGGTCAAATTGACATTCAATCTGTTCAATCAAATACTTTCATAGTCTTAGCAGGTAAGACTTAACACATATATTTTTATTTAAAAGTCAGGTATTGTGTACTAATAAATGCTATATAATACCAACCTCGTGTTTGCTCATTGAAGAGAAGCATCGAATTGTTGGAAAACCTCCACTGTCCTCTCTGTAGTGTATATAGTGTTCAACTTTTCAGTAACAATACACTATTTTCCCAGTTCCAGTTGCTACGACGAGCCACAGTGATCGCATGGAATGGGCGCATGCAAGAAATACGGAAGTATATTTAGTATGAATTTAGGATCTTTTCAAATGCTAACAGTAATGTGGTTGAAAATTGAAGTATAGTAAGATATAGTAGGATAAAGGATAAAGCTCTCGGCGTTCATCAATCCATGAGGTATGCGCCATGCCTTACTAAGAGTCATCAGAGATTGTGCACGGGTGGAAGGTTTGGTGATAGTGGGGCACGCGATCAATCCCATGTGAGTTGCAAGGGGCCTCTAAGCAATGCGCCATATGCATAGTATGATATAATAATGAAATATATACCTCTAGATCGGTAAAGCACACACTCTTCTATAGGTTTGTAACTTTCTCAACCCATAAAGTACCTTTAGCAATAGAAATTTTGTGGTTGATCGTTGAAAAACTAGCATTGGCTATAATTTCCAATGTTTTAATCCGGTCTGGTTACATTGTTACCGCAGACTCCATGAAATGAAACGTCGTCCTAGGTGGCAGCAACGAAAATTTAAAAGTTAGGCGTTGCAAGATCTAGACTGCAATAAAACATTATTCTGTGCGAAACTGCTGAGGACGCTTCAAGAGGCAATTTTTACTTCAAATCAAAAATTGCCAGTGTTCAAACAGTCTTATTGCACTACCTGAAACTATCGGTAAACTAAATACAAATGTACAGGAACACAACACGATAAGTCTTTGGCGTCACAAACCCTAAAGGAACAACTGAAAACACAAGACCTCATTCACAGATCTGAATTCTCCATGAAATTTCTCAAATTGAGGTTACAATTAATGAATTCAATACAATTAACACTTTTACCTAACAAACACTAGACCAATATAAGTGGAATGTTATGCACCATCTCAGAGTGACTTGTCCTATGATTGTGGTACAGATTTTAGTTTCAGGGTTGATTTAGCCGCAACGCATTCAAAGTCAAAGCAACAAATTCTACCACTTTTGCTATCCAGATAGAGTTCGAACAAGACGTTTTTTGGGACTTTGCAATGCGTAGGGATAAATTTTTAGCATAAATTGGAAACAATTGGGATAGAGTATGAATATGGTACAGCACTTCTTTAGTGGCTCCACTAGTCGCAGTCAGTTAGAAGCAGGCCGTCGCGTAATCAGCTAGTTCACAACATATGCGAGTTCTCGTAGTGATGATTGCTGGTGCTCATTCTCTTTGTAGGATCGGGACTGGCGTGAGTCGAAAGCATGCTGTATCCTTGTTCGTTGCGGTTGTTGGCAGCACCTGTGTTCACACATTACTTATTTGTGTTTGCATGTGTCATTTGTTTTACAGGAACTCTATTAAATGCTCTCATATTAAAGCAGCTGGATATCTGTTCAACAGAGACGTTTTTGTAACAATGCCTTGCGAATACGAAGAAAGAAAACACGTTTATCATGAATAACATCTCCAAATTTCTCCTTTATGGATTTCGGCACCGTCAGATTTTGAAGTGAAGGTATTATGAAAGAAGGAATGAAACTGCTGTAACCTACGCGTTTCTTGAGCGAAAGAAGCCTACTTGGCAGCGATGTGACGATTGGAGGAAACCTTACTGCTGTACACTCGACAAAGCTCGATGACAAATTACAACGTAAATATTACTATATGACGGCAAAGGCATAAAGGATAACGCTCTCGGCGATGATCAATCTCTGAGGGATGCGCCATGTATTCGACGTCGTTAAGTATCGTTGGAGGTGATTAAATGCATATTTGGCCTTTACAATGACTCGCGGTGGCCCGCCGATGTATTGAGCCACTGCAGCTGTCTTCTCAAACAAGTCTGGTGCCAATTTTCAGACCTCGGTTAGATGGAAGGTTTGGTGGGCGATAGGCGCGGCGACCGACTCCACCTGTCCTGTAGGGCGCCTCTGACCACTGAGGAGGCTACACGTGAGCTTTATATGATGTTATGTTACTAAGGTAAAACTGCAACGAAAACAGAGGTCATTCTATTAATTTCTAGCTTAAGAGTCAACGTTATAAACGACTTAGCTCTAGATTTGTTTCCGAGAAAATGAGCGATTTGAGGAGCTTTCAAGAGCACCTAGGATGTAGTGAGGAGAACAACGAACACCCAACTTCGTGCCCACCTTTTTGGCTCCATGGTTCTCCCGGCCTTATCGTATGTGTTAGAAACCTGGTCGCTACGCAAGCATGATCAAAGTCAACTAAGGTTTATGGATCGCGCAGTCGAAAGTGCGATTCTAGGAGAAGCTTGTATCACGCAAATGAGACAGGGAGTCTAAAGTTCCGACCTACGTCAACAATCAAAATTCAAAGACAGCGCTCTATACGTTAAAATGTCGAAGGTGGGCCGGATACATGGTGTGTGCCACTGAATAATGGATTGCCTGGTATGTTAACCGCACAGCAGGAAAACCATCGAGTCGACCGTCAGAGTTCTTTACGAAATCTCTAATCGGAAGATGTGGTACTCAGAGAGTTTCTAGGGTGAGGAGAATCCACAGGAATTCTTTTGCACGAGAGGGGGTAAAATTGAAGGTTTACTAACACCCAGTCGAGTCACTCTACCATCAACGAGACGATAGATGATGCAGGAGACTATTCAAATTTATAGCTAAGCGTGCAACCTACCTTGTTTGAGATACTTTTCACAAAGCTTTCCGACAACAGCAGCCCCGATGCTGTCGCCATGAACGTTTACTGTAGTGCGAATTCTGTCTAGGAAAAAATCGACAGGGAATATCAAAATGAATAAATTCGATGGCAGTCCGATTGCAATTAACACCATGATCATCGTAACTATTCCTGGAAATGCATTTCATCATTCCATTTTGATATTATACTAACAATCCAACAAAAATCATAAGACAACATCACCAACCTGCCTGTGGAATTCCAGCTGCTCCAATGCTCGCGAGCGTCGCCGTAAGACTGGAAAGTGGTTAGTTAGGTTGGACCAGTGTTTTCCTAGCATTTCCTTTCGGAAAAGTTTTATACAGTTGTTTATTGCAGCGGATCAAAAATTCAAACTTTTACTGTGTTCTTTGTGATCACGTCTTAACTTTGCATTTCAATTTTCTGCACCTTTTCATTAAACATGTTGTCGTTTCATCTTAATTGCAAATAAAACAAATTGCTTCTGCCCAATTTTTAGTTTTACATCTTGGAACTGCAGTCCAGTCAAATAGCAGCAATTAGGCAGACCACCGAGGTGAATTTAAAGAAAATTCAATCACGATCGTGATTAGAAGGCATGAAAGCTAAGCACCTTTCTAGAATTCTAGTGTTAATATATCCTGAAAATTAGTAGTGGCGGAGAGGAGTTCGACTCGTCAAAAAGGTATGGCATTCTTTCCGCAAATTGATACCTGATACGAAAATCAGCTTGCTTCTCTGCTAACTAAAACGATTTTCACTTTTTTCTTTGAAAATCTGGAATAACCAAGTTTTCAACAAAAAATATCACCAAATTATTTTCTTCTACCTCACGAGAATTACTTGTCCCATTGAGAGATCTAGCCCAACACATTGAGAAATGTAAATAGCAGCAACGGCCTCGTACAGTGCTGTACCGTCCATATTTCTGGAAAACTAGTCATTCATTAGAAAGAGCTGCGATTATCTAAAAGCTCCGACAACATTCCATCTTTCTTTTCGCTTTTTGCTTTTTCTTGCTAAAAGTATGCCTAACGTATGCTAAGATTTTCTAACAGATTTCTCTAATTTTTCTTGAAAATATGAAAAGGAATGCGACGACTACTAAGCAGACATGGGAATTGGCTCATTTCACTATTTCATCAAAGATATTTTTTAAGTAAGAGAATTAATGTCTTCCGAATGGTCCATATAGCCACAATAGCGCTGCAATATTTGCAAAACTCGTAAAACCAGTTGAGCTTCGAACCAGCGATTACCCTTTCCGTGGTCTCGCCTGTTGCTCGAGAGTTACCCCACCCATGCTGCTGCTTTGCGTTTCTCTCAGCCAGTTTCTTACCCTAACGGTGTCATCGACATTCACCAGTCAACGGTATTGATCTGAGAAGCAGAAATCGGATCAGGCTGAACCGAGTTTACTCAAGCTGCAGTCGAAATTACAATCTTTCTCTGTTCAAAGGCAAAGCAAAGGCCTCAGTGGTGCAGTGGATAACACATGAGGTCCGGCTAAGTAATTGCGGGTGCGAAACACACATAAGGTTCGCAGTTTTGTTTATATCTCAGCATAAATGTAGTTTCATTTCACATGAAAACTTTTCGCGAAAAATAATGGAAAGTAAAGAAAAAGTTAAAAACTAGGTTATTATAGCGCACCGACATTTCCATATACTATTTTCCTAGCAAAAAATAAGAATAGTGCGTAAATCATACATGGTAGCTCCTAGCGGGAGTACGAATCGGGCTACTCTGGTGTCCACACCGTTATTTTCTTCAACGCACTTGATGGAGAGAGGTAAAGTGGCCGAGCTAGAAAAAAAGGCGTTCATTTGTTATCAAAAAGCAACAAAGCATTCTAATATTGGTTTTTTTGGTCAAATGAATGAATTCTAGGATGTGCTTTCTCCTGATTCTTTTAAAGAAGTTGTCAACTTGTATTAAAATAGACTCGGGTTAAATGGTGATTACCTAGAACTTGTTGCCAGAGCGGTCAAGAGTGCTTGCGCCATACCGTAGACATATTTAATTGGATTTCTCCTGCCCAGCTGTAAATTAGGTACTAACAGACAATCTCTTCAGTAAAGCCTCACAGATTTAAGACTGATGAATGTAATCCAGACCGTTATCATAAGAATGGGTAACACTACGAAACCATGGATAAATAATCCGATCAAAACGGTTATCATGTAGCCCATGAGCCTCTGCAGTTCCTTCCCTGGATCCTTCATGCCGACAATTTGTGCAGCGATCAAAAACGTGATTCCGATCGGTGAATACCTGAACACGTAGAAACAAAGCATTTCAATCAGGCTTATTTTCACAATTAAGCTTCGATGAAGCGACTGTTTTTTTTTTGCATCTTGTCAACACAGAAAGTGCAAACTTTTTCTCCTCGTACGGCCAAAAATTTTGAATGAATCTCTTTTTCGACATTTATCTGCCTGGAATAAGGAAGTGAAAAGGATGCGCAAATTATCCTATTATTGTTTGCTGAACTAATGATACCTTCACATTCACAAATTGTGCAACAATTTTTTGCAGTTCAACCATTCTCCTTATAATGGAATGCTAACAACTTCTTTATTGGAATAGTTCAGACAACTGTTTAGCAATTCTCATGCGCATTTTTGTGTTGACACTGTTCGTGGTTTTTCTAACAAGTAGTCTTTTAATTTTATTGTTCAACAAAGCAGTACCAGATGACAAGAGAGATGAGCTTCATGCTAACTGTTTCTAGGCTCTTGAAGAAGGCTTTCAAAGGAACGCCCTCTTCACCAATATAGCCGATCGTGATTCCTAGTGCTACGCTGAACATCACCAAGCCGAGTATATTCATTCCATCTGACGATATCCGTTCCGGTAGCTCAGTGAACAACGCCCGGTCTTCTAAAATGTTTAAAGCTGGTTTATTTGCTTCTTATGCTTAGTATATTATTTACATCTATTCATTCATTCAATCGTTTCGTGTTTAGCTTTATCACTCTGTCACAGAATAAACGCTGAATATGAAAGGCTTATTTTAAACATAACCATTTGCCTATGTATAACCTATGGTAAAACCGTAAAGCACTTGTACGACGATGTCTAAACGAATCAAAATTAACAATGGTGCCTAAAAAAGTACAGGGAACCCATCAAAAGTTAAAATGTTGGAACAGCAGAATAGCGTTTGAAGCTGCTACTAGTGAAATTCCCTCATGTACACTAATGATGACAGACCTGAGCTCATCTTCAATACAGAATCTGGATTTATTGATTGGGTTCCATTAAAAAACTTCAAACACATTTTGTGCGACCGAAACGTCGCCTCCACAAGATTTTCGGGAAACAGGCTCCTAGAAAGATAAATACACTGCAAAGTGGATGAATAATTTCAATCACATAGATGCATTTCAACGGGCGTACTTTACAAGATCGAGTATGGTGTCCATGGCGTTCGAAATACATGGGACTTTATTGACCTCACCAACGACTTCTTCAATGTTGGTGCTGGTCCATTTGCCAGGTTGTATCAACACTACCAGGACAATACCTTAACAAACGTGTTAAAAGTTAATCGTAGCGTATTCTTGTTTTCAATGGTTATTAAAGCTTTTTTATTCTTTTTAATAAAAGAATACTAGAGTTTTCTGGGTTGAATGTTACAGTCAGCCAATGAGTTCTGCTGGCTTCATGGACTCTAGAGGACGTACCGCGAGACAAAGCCTTAATCGCTATTCTCACCGCGTGTCGTTAAGAAGTACCTAGAGTTTGGGTAACACAAATTTTTACACCATGGCACACGCGATGTCGTTTCTGACGCTAGGTCGTCGACGAGATGCATATCTAATCCTCTTAGTACTGTTTACTACGTTCTCGATGGGTTTGTTAGTACATCAACTGAACATTTTCTTTTATTCAATTAACCTCGTTTGTCATATTGACTTCTTTAGTCACAAATACATAACTGGGAAAGCAGAAATAACTCTGTGTACGCTTTAACTTTTATCTGTTGCCTATTCTTGTTTTATGGCAGATGCAAAATGGAATACAACCGCAGGGATGTTGAGATACGAGCAATGCTCAGGACTCCGTTTGGGTTTCGAACCCGTGATTACTCCTGTCAGTGATGACACACTATTCACCAACCCAACAAGGCGCCTACTTTGCCGTATTGTTTTCAGAATTTAACTTTAGCTTAACCATGCTCAATGCTGATTTGTGTTTCTCAGATCACTCCCGTTGACGAGTAATTGCTGATGACATCGTTAGAGTAAAAACATGGTTGAGAGAAATGCGAAGCAAGGAGACCACGATTGGCGTGGTGGATAGCACGTGAACCCCGATGAGGGAAATCTTCTGCGTGCTATGGAAATCGTCTTTTGAGATTCATCGATGTTTTTACACGCCCGTCAAAATCAGCCCGCTACTTATCTAGACAAGTTATGTTCACTGTCATGGAAATCCCAGCACTCTTTCCAATCCTTTTGATGTCTTGGAACCCCATCAGCATATGATTGGTACCAAACTTCAACTGCGACTTCGAAATTTGTAATTTCCTGTCTGTGGAATGCTGGTCCAGCATTAGCTTTTTAGACTGTTGAGGTAACCGTGCTCGAACGTTTCTGAATCTTAATTAAAAGCAATAGTCGATTGCCTATCGTCGATTCCAGAGATGTTTCCATCCTTGCAACCTGGTTGTCTTCAGGACTTCGGCGGTTCCTAAGACGGCAACGAATATCAGTCGACCGATCTCTCAAAGACATTGTAACAGGCCGAATGATAATGGCAATGTTGTTGTACAGTGATGAAATTGGGCATTCAATGAAAACGTCATTGTCAGTGGTGAAATTCTACAGATGAATCCTTGAAAAATCCTGTGAACGATCGCTGTGAACTAATAAGTGACAAGAAGTTGTCCACAGATTCATATTTGCTTCTATCTCAACTTATCGAAGAATTTCTTCGTCAACGAAAATTATAAAAAAGGATATACTGTAGACACACGGTGCTTGGTAATTAGCAGGTAAACTAGAGAACTCCCGATTTCGTGTTAGCCCTTTTTTGTTCAATACGGTTTTACTGATTTTTCAATAATGTGGACTGTGTATTTTAGAAATTAACGGGTTAAACGTAGCAAATAAAAGTTCGTTCAGTGTAATGAGAAAGGTTGTAGTTGGCTTTGAGCGACTATTCCTCTTCAGAGCACATGTTGTATTTTCATCCATCACGATCCTGCCTTGCTTTCACTAAGAGGTGGTTTGTGAAGAGATCGGAGGGGAAGTTGAACATAATTTTCTTCACTGCTGTTTTGCACACCGTGACCGGTCATTCTGTCAAAATACCAATAGCTGACAAAGCTGAACTTTTATTTGGTGAAGTTCAATCTGAAGCTGTTGATACTTCTCCCAAATGGTGCAGCTTCTGTTAATACTGCTCCTCTTATCCTCTTAAAATTTTCCTCTGGCGACTGTTTTCAAAGGTTTTTTATATCTACTTGCTTACACAAAGTGCAATTCCACGTTGAAGTATCATCCTGAATATTTCTGGGAAAAATCGTTACTTGATGACTTCTACTTCTCACAATTTTTTAAGCACTTTTCAGGTGTTGGATGAAACGGTCTTAATTCTCGGCGATACCATCGTCAGTGGTATCTTCTCAAAATCCAGTTGAAAGGTGAACAAATCCAATTTGCAATGGTTTCGGAATTTCGTTTTTTGAATGCGTCGGCATTTCAGTCTTTTTGCTAATCGAGGAAGAATCCTTTCTGAAGCATGCGAATATCTGGTACATCACATGTATAACTTTGGAACAACAGTAACATTAGCCAGGCACAAGCTTCAATTTATTATGCTATTTTCCATTTCGCTATGATATCTCGTTCACTCTTCCAAAATTGTGAAGAACAGCAAAGTCTTCCAGGCTTGGAAGGGGTTACGCTTTTCCGTTCCATCAGCAAGCCCGCTAAGAGCACACCAATAACAGGATTCGCCACTGTTCTGGTATCAGTTTAGTCACATGGTGGAAAATTTCCCTCTAATTCGCAAGAGCGGTGACTGCCTGTGGTTGTGGAGACCTGGGACAGATTCTGGCCTGGCTGACCTCAGGACTCCAGGAAACACAACGACTAAACCAACGAAACTACAAAAAAGCGGAAATTATGTTGAGGCCTGCACAACCAGTGAAGACGGGCCATCCAAGTATTCAAGTAAGTAAATATGAATGGCTTAGGGCTAGTGTTACTCAGTGGTTGGAAGTGCACCTCATTATGCACATAGTCTCTCTCACGCAACCATGAGTAATCATCGGGACTCGGCCTAGCAAACTTTTCTAAGAGGACAAAAAACTTGGCGTGATATTAGCCCCCTAAATAACTCTATGGGCCAAATCGTTTTATTTTCTTTCGATGAGTGCTCTTATCATGATGAATTCAGACAGCTGACCATCCTGTTTATTCCAGAACTTAATCTAGATACACTAAACTGAAGCGCTTCAGACGTAGTTCTGGAGGAAAAGTTAGTGTAGAAGTTGCAACAATTGATAACTCTGCAGAGAGCATGATCTTCCTGAAGAACTTCTTCGAGTGCACATGGAAAATTTCAAGCGCTTCTTTGTCATGCCTTGATGTTGGAAACTAGGGACACTACTTACTCAGACAAATCGGTTTTTATGGTAGAGCTTGTATTGGAAAAGGTACCAACTTCGGCGACTGTTCTACCGCTGCATGTTCTAGGAAACTGCTCTTAATCAATGCCTATAAGTGTTCATAATTGATCCGTAATATTTTCGGAGCATTAATTTGTTGCTTTATCATACGCAGTGAATAATACATACATTTAGTGAAAATCTTAGATTACCTAGAATAACGGCCATCATTGTTGTGATGAAGTAGTAGATGAGAGAAATCATCCCAAGCTTACCCGCCGTGTGCGAATCGACTGAAGCCAAGCTTGAGCTTAAATGATGTTAGTAAAACAGTTATGCATCAAAAACTCAAGATTTTTTAACACTCGCCATGAGGTATTTAAATCAATTACTCGATTTGACCACGATGTAGAGATATTTTCAAGAGTTCTGACCGCCGGTGAATGTGGTGGAGATCGAACATGCTATTATCCTTTCCGAGTACTAAAGGCTTTACCACCACTCCATGCAATTTCCCGTTTCGCCTTTCTCTCAGCAAAATCTCTATGTAACGATGTCAATAGCAATCACTCGCTAGCGGTACTGATGTGGGGAGCAAAAATCGGCACTAAACTCATTTAAGCTGAGGATGTACTCGAAAACACAAATTTAACTTCTTTTATTTACTGCTCACTACAATTTTGGTATTATACCAAATTCAGCCACAACGATGGTGAGATATTTGCAAAACTCCGGACTGCAGTGGTGAAGACCGAACAGGTTATTACCTTTTCCGAGGACTAAACTGTTCACCACCACACCATGTGCTCCATCGTTTCGTCTTTTTCTCAGCTGATTTTCCATCTAACATGCTATCAGCAATCACCTTCAGCGGGACTTGTCCTGGAGATTAACGAGTGGTTGCTGTTGCCACTGTTAGATTGAAAAGTAGCTGAGAGAAATGCCAAGCGAAGAAAGGAATGCTGTGGTGGTGGGCAGTCTAGCCCTCGGAAAGGTTTATGACGTGTTCGCTCCCCACCACAAGCACCTGCGGTCCGGAGTTTTGCAAAGATCTCATCACCATTGTGGTTGAATTTCATATAGTACTCTGCCATAAAAAAACGTAGCAGCCAGTAAATAGAAAAAGTTAATATTGTGATTTTCCTCGATTTAGTTCGAGCTTCACCTCAGCACCTCTCGATGCAATAATGAAAGTGCCCATCAACAGTTAGAAAGTTGTAAACCGAGTAGCTGGCAGATTGAATATCAGTGTCACCCATTCGGGCTTTCTAAAAAAGCGAAATTTTTCAAAAAGCTAGCTTTTGTTAAAAAACAATGCATTGGCAAATTCGTCCTTGGTCACTAAGAATGCGCTAACTTACAAGCAGTGGAGCTTCCATTTTAAGGAAACTCATCATGGCCTGCAACACGGTGTCTAAAATCAAATATACTTTTGCAAGCAACAAAAGAAGAAGAAAAAAAATTTTTGCTTTTGTTGTGATATCGCTTTATTGTTTCGCTATCGATCGGTTATAAGAACTGGAGAAAAAGGGTGCTGTCCACGAAAATAAGTGATCAGAAGCAAAATTACTTTGACTCATAGTGTTCACTCGTTGACCCGCTTATGATTAGATAGAATGCTCATGTACGTTATCTGGTGACAGGGTATCACGGTTTTCGTCGCCCCAGCAACATCGTCTTTTTGAGCGACTGGAGGGAAACGTGTTTTCATATCGGCTTATTTGGTGAAGCAGTTCTGTAGGCTCAGTGGATGTCGAAATATCAACTTCTATCATGATAAAAATCTTGAAGAAGGCTAAGCATTTTTCCTTTCTGCACCTTATGAGACCTGTGACCAAGCTCACTTAACATTACAAAAAGGGTTTCGTCTCTTTAATTAATACTCCAGTCCTTGACACCGATCCAGGAAGTCTGAATGGTTTTGAGTGTAGATATTCTTGATTTTTGCATGAAAATCGTTGACTTCAATCTCAAAATCATATTCGTTGTTGCCTCTGTACTTTCCCAAGGGAGCACTTCGTTAAGCTCCAAGTTTCCTATCTAGAGCCATTGTACGCACACGCAAAGTGTGCCACACTGACAAATTGCGTATCTGTTCTAAGGGTAATTTTGTAATTTTGTACTAGGCTTAGATATCCACAGTTTCGAACTGATAGGCACGATGGAGTGCTTAGTGGTTCTTTAGTAACTCCAAAAGAATTTAGACCTGCACTTCCGAGGCCTACTCAACAGTAGTTCTTACTTTGTCGAAATAACAGTTCAGTTAGACGGTATCTGTAAGCGAAAATCATTTCCGGGCATGGATTTTTATACCTAACCTCAGCACCCAGTGTTTCTTGCCATTTAAGCTGGATATTTGCCAATCCAAGTAAAAAAATCGTTTCATTCTCCTCATATCTTGGAAGCACTGGTTGTCGTTTGTAATGTTTCCAATAAAGGCCATCTCAGTGTTTGAAAGAGGAGTAGAGAAGTGATGAACTAGTACGTTCTCATTGACCACATTTTGATAGCCATATGTAGCGGAGGCGTTTTAGCAATCGTTTTGTCTAGGATTTCCCTCTTTTCCTCTTTTCTTGAGATAAAATTCCGCACAACCAGTCATTCAATATAAATTTCAGCGAGACAAATCCGCGAACAAATGAAGGAAATCTGTAGACAATTCAGGACTTATTGAAGTACTGCATTGTTAAATGCAGAAGAACACGTGCGATTTTTGAACAGAGTGTGAGGACCTCTTAGCAGGATTTAAATATTTCAGCTTGCAAAACACGTTTACTGAATCGGTTTTAAAGACTCGAAAATAAGCTGAAGCGATGAATGTCTCGTTTTCAACGTTGCGTGTACTTGGTTGCACATCCTAGAAGGTGGAAAGAGAAAAACGCCATGTGTTCTCAAAGTTTTTTTGCATAATAACTGAAATTAGTATTTCGGCTTGCACTAAGGTTATAACACTGTTCTACCGACTAAGTGAACACACTAATATTTCCTCCTGGAGTCTCTGAGAAGACGATGTTGCCGAAACGCTGAGAACCGAAAAAAGCGTGTTAGTAACCACGTGTCAGGTCATCAGGAACAATTTGAAAGGACACGATTACTGGTTAATGCTAAGATTGTGTGGAAGTTCTTTGTTGAAATAAGATTTAAACGCTCTTCAGATACAAACTATAATACTGCTTTTAGCTTCCATGAACGTAATTTTCTTATCTGTGTATGTGTTCTCACGAGCTGTTCGGCGACATCGCCCTCTTTAGAGCTTGGACGTATTATATGTAGTAGTAGCCCCATAATTCGGTAGATTACTCAGTGTTAATGAAGATCCAACATATGGAAAGACGCCAATTTTCAAAACCACCCATCTTGCCGTCAGACCACCCGAGTGTTGTTCACGAGGGATGACGAGTGAGACCTGATCATGGGTATGCACATCAAAAACCCATACCGAGATAAGGTGACATATCACGTGTGATAGTGATGCATTCGTCTTTCCGGTTCACTTTTAAACTTTTAAAATTCATCCAAAACTCCTCAAGAGCATTGCGCGTGGATATTTTAGATTTCTGTGCTAGGATCAGTACATTCACTTCAAAATAATCTCCATTGTGCTTTTGTGCTCTATGTGCACTCAGGGCAGTAGTTTGTGGAACTTTAGCTTTTCCATTTAGATGTTTTTTTACGCAGACAGAAAGTGCTCTACCCGTTTCCTCCATGTATTCCTCACCACATGTCTTCCCAGAGATCAAGTATATTGTACCTGCACTTCTGCAATCCTTTCTTCCATTGGGACAAATTACACATCTTGCAGTAACTGCCACGACCGACTTTCTATTAACCTCGGCATTGATCAAGTGATTTTCTTTGTATTTTTGTTGAGAAAAAAAATTTCACATTATACTTCCACGTGATTTCTGTGCGGTTGGTCTCTACGTGACATACTTAGTGTAAACCTCATAGAAAGCGGCTCTGAAGAAGGCGAAATCCGCCGAAACGTCAGCTTAATCGTGAACAAAGAATAGTAACACCTCGCGTTTGCTCAACAAAAATACAAAGAAAATCACAAATTACACAATTTTCCGAGCTGCACAAACGATCATAGAGTCGGTTGTGAACTAGCTAATGGCGTAGAGTATTCGGTTGAAGGTCAACAACTGCTACATAACTTTTAAAACCACTTCTTCTAAGGTACCTTTTTATAGCATAAGTTTAGCCGTTTGAGACGAAGGGTATCTTGGAGGAAATCCTGTTTAAGTTTGGAACACTATTTCAGGAAATAACCTATCCTACCTTTTGGCTTGACATGAGTAGCTTTTTCTTTATAGACATTGGAAACGGCTCTTTTTCATACTAAATTTAGCGATTCCTTCTTTGCTCTTCCGCACTACACAAATTTGTAGCCGTTCGATGCATGTTTTTGATGAGAGTTTTTTCATCTGCGAAGGAAGAGAGGAAAGGTGGGGGACTAGTATATTTCCACTAATTGGTTTTCAATACCATCTTGTCATTTAGCCAGTCTTTGAAAGCTTTATTTGGACGTCTAAGAAAGGAGGCTAATCACCGGCTGGTTTATTCTCGCGTAAATTTTATATACTCCGACTGTCCGTTTAAGAATTCAAAGCATTAGTTCATCTGTTCTTGTACGGAACAGACGTACATGAAAGCGATGGCAAGGCTTAGTGCTAATCTCTGACCCATGGCCATGCCTCTATTTTCTGTAAAATCCCTTCCTTTAAGACAGTCGTTAGGTGTTGAAACGGCAAGCGATACATATTTAAGTCTTTTTTGTGTTCTACGAGTAGCACGATGGAGTGGCTTGCACTGCGGAGTCATTCAAAATGTTGTTAATTATAAAATTCAGCAACATCGAATGGCTCCTTTAAGTACGCGGTGTTTGGTTGCGCTCGCCGTAGGTGATGTAGGAATATTTTGGTATTGAGAAGGATGAGTTGGTATGAATTTCAGTAAGTGGTCAGAATAAGGCTTAGAAACCGTGTTATTCTATTCGTTGGCCTACTTATACAATTATTGATTGGTCTAACCTTAAGTGATGACGGGTCGGTAGACGCATGGTGATCAGTAGAACTAAGCTTTGTGTCTTAATAAGCAACTATAGGACAGGACAAACTGGATGGTCGTTCCTAATCCGGGAAATGACTGAAGGCTCTAAGCCCGCTTCCTTGACCATATTGATCCACTTCCTATTTAACTTTCGGTGTTAATTTCAGTACTCATTTGAGTGGATGGTCGATAAAGTGAAACACCGTTGATTGAGAAGCTCTCCTGTTGTTCTAATATCTAGCAGACTAGGTGTAACTACAAATCCCCATTTAATTAAGCACAAATTTTAATTATGTCCTAGTTTGCTTTAAAAAATATAGGAAAAAATAGACTTTCCTTGGAGTAAAATTGCTACATGCATAAGAATAAACTTCAAAGGAAACACGTATTGAAACGATGCAATTCTACTTCTTTGAAAATCATTCTGTTACTTGAAGAATTTTCATCGAAATTAAAGTGAAATTTTTTCATCAGATCGATACACTTAAGCCACTTGTGGCTGTTTCAATACTTGAGGTGTTCATGAGTTAAAAATAAAGGATAAAAAAAGGCAGAAAGCTCTTGACGTTGATCAATCCCTGAGGGAAGAGCATTGCATTCGACATCACTAAGCATCGTTCGGAGGTTATTTAATGCATATCTGGCCTTTACAATGACTTGCGGTGGCCAACCGATGTATAGAGCCAGTGCTGCCATGCTTCCAGGCAAGTCTGGTACCAATTTGCCAATTCAGGAGGGATGGAAGGCTTGGTGGACCATTGGCCCAGGGACGGGTTCCACGTGTGTGTTGCAAGGCGCCTCCAACCGCTGCGTCACACGCGCCTTTTTTGAAAATATGACTGGAAAATATATGAAAAATTACTTTTCATTGAGGTCGCCTTTATCTTTTTCAAAAGCGCCTTTTATGAAATGGAATGAAGTATTTTATTGATGAGATTCTTCTAACAAATTTACACTGCTGCCTTAATGTTAAAACTTTTTATTTGCTGCCTATTAAATTTTTTTACGAAAGGTATTTATGTGATACAACCACTATGATGCTGAGATCTTTTCAAAACTCCGGACCGCAGGTGTCTCCGATGGGGACAAACGCGCTATTATCCTTTCCGCGGGCTAACGTGTTCCTCAGCACATCATGCGGATTGGGTTCCCCAGACCAATCCCGCTCACAAGTGACTGCTGATAGCACTTATCGATAGAACTAACTGGGAGACAGGCGAAACGAAGGACCGGCATGGTGTGGTGGTGAACGCGTCAGCCCCCGGACAAGATAATAGAGTGTTCATTCTCCACTGTTGTCTTATTTTAATTCAACTTTACTATCAGGCACCTTCCCATTACATTCACGACATTTATGACCAAAGAGATCACTCACATAATGCTGGACATTATAAGCGGAAGAATGAGCATTTTAAGCATTTGGACGAATACGTCACCGGGAAAGCGAAGGTAGCTGAGATGACGCTTGCTCCATTTTACTTCAGGATCACGAAGTGTGATTCCCGTCACAATACCAGCCACCACGCCAGCCACCGTAAAAATCAACAGAATATTCTCCTTTGCTATTCTCACCATCTGAAAAAGGAACGTATTTGTTGAGAATTGGTGAACGACGAGCATAAGAACGATACATTTGAAAGAGTACTGTTCTAACTATGGGACCACAAAAAAAACGAACTGTTAACAGAAAGCAACTTAACACCTATCTGGCGCTACATTTGTCTGGTTTCAGATACAAGCCTTTACAGAATAAAAAGGTGTTTACTTTTGATTTAAGAAAAAATCGTATTCTGAAGGAAGCTCTATGTTGCACAATGTGAGTCAAAAAGAACTCGTAACCCAAATGAAAATGTAGTGGAATAATTTGCACCAAGAAAGAGGGTTTGTGAAAGCTGGAAAGTTCTTGCAATAATACAGCAAATGCCTATGCAGTAGATCTAAAGTGTACGCAAACGTTTTTATTTGATTTGTTATACAGATTGTGCACTTCATTGCGCTTACAATTTTCGCTTAGCCATTGTTCACAGTTCAATGGTTCTTTCTAGAAAAAGAAAGAAAGGCTAACAAAGCCTACTGAAATGCGCTCACTTATCACTTAGAACTTTTTCTTCTATTTAATTTAATTAAAATGGTCTCTTTTGATAGCATCCTTGGCACTACGAAATTATTCTTTTCCATTAAATACACGTGGATGGACTACCTAAACTCAGTTCCTGCAAGTGAACTAACTTAATTTCTTCCAGTTTTCTGCCATCGCTTTTCTCGTTCACGGTGCTCCCTCTTTCGTTAAATCGAAGTCCGGGAACATCACTTTATGATTCAAGAGTGGATTCCAGTTATGAATATAGCTGGCTGACGTCAACCGATAAAAACATCAATCTATGAGAGTCATTTTTATATTCTTCTAGTCCATCTGCCTTCAATTCTTTTCATCAAACGACTCAGAAATTTTCGATATATGTCCCCCTCGAACGTGAGGTATTTATTGCTCGCGCGGATTATGAAGCCTGTGTTAATGATGCAGGTGCCGATTATATATAAGAAGCAAGTAACCCGTTGATGGTGCCCATAATTCTCAGCGGATTGGAGTCGTTTCAGTGTAATGCCATAGGCAATTATTCAAAAATATGAGCGTAAAGCTTTAAGCTCTTATTGGCGACTTCTTAAAAGTACCTTACCAAAACAATGTCGTTTCTCTTCTTTTGTTCAATCGCTTTCTCGTTCTTCCCGTGTCTCTAAACTTTCGTGTGGTATGGTGCCTGATGTCAACAAACCGTCTATTTTGCTTCGTCTATCATCACATTATGGGTGTCTTTTATGGTACATTCGCAATGACTATCCTATAAATCGCTTATACAGGCAGAAGCACTCTTTGGTCAACCATATCAAACGCTATATTCCAAGAACAAGGTACAGATGGTGCTCTCCACAGACGCTGTCGCCTTGGTCGCCATTTGATGCGATTCACACTGTAGAAAACCTATCGAAATCGTAAAAATTAATCGAAATTAGAGCATAATTTCAATGAAGAGTGCACTCACGAAATACGATGAGCAGTAAATGTGAAGATTCTCCAGATGTTTCTCTATACTACTTGGATACTTGAATGACCTGTCTTCACTGGTTTTGCGAGTCCAAGCATAATCTCCATTTTCTCTGAGTTTCTTATACAATCATGAATGAATTTCCTATGTTGACTTTATACTGTTCTACCTCTTACGGTTACTTCTAATGTAATTTAATTTAACTTAATTCCTAATTTAATTTATGTGACTTAATTTTGCAGCACATTGCACGTTGACTAAAAACAGTACATGCGAAGCATGTAATAGAAAATGAAAGATAATAAACAATAACAGAGAAACATAAAAATAAACAGTATTGAGCTTGTATTAATGAATAAATTAAAGATGATGTAACTAAAGCAAGTAATACAGTAGAAGCGATAAATCAGTATTGCATTTTCGGTGGAATTCCATTCCATTGTATTCGACTCACTGCAACTGCAAATGCCTTCATGTCCAGAAACAGCCGGTGTGGACACTCTATTAGAAACACTGTCGTTCAGAAGAATGAGAAGGTGACTTTGTGGTCGAAACTTTTTGTTATGGTTAACATTCAGTAACTTCACTCTGTTGTACTTTTTCCTGTGTAAGGAAATCTTGTTTCGAGTACTACGGTAAGGTTTGTTGCCTTGAAAACAAATGTTTTTCTACGACAATTAACCAACAAGTGTTCTTGGTGGAAAATACGGAGTGAAATCAGCCCGTTCCAACGACAGGAACTGTCTTGTAAAAAAGCAGTGCTAGATGGCGTTGCTTTACTCATACTGTGCTATTCTCAGCTCGATTTAACTCACTGTCGGTGTTAGTGGAATTCTAGCATTGGGAATTCTTCTCGTCTCTTTCAATTCGCTGTGACTCTTGTTTTTCCTGTGTTTACATAATATATGTATTCCGTACTAGTTAATCAATCCATTACAGATGCTGCCTCTCATTTTTAAAACTACTTTTAATGTTTAAGGTTGTCGGGCACATTCTCTTAGTCATTGGATTATTTTTAAAACAATTTTTATACGGCGGGAGAAATCGGTGATACGCTATGCACACATCACTCCCTGTTCTGATGACTGAGAACGCTACAGGACAACTATCTCAGCACACCAACGACAATCAGTTAATACCAATATTTTATGAGAATCATTGCGAAGACTGAGACAACTGGGTAATTAAGACGCAAACCTGAACATCTTCGGGGATGTCGGATGCGAGGTACAAGTGGATGAAGGAGATGCTGAGATCCGCGCTAAACACGGTGTCGTTGCATGCAAATATAATAGAAAAAATTTCCTTCTTTTTAAGAGTGGGGAGAATCAACTTTTCAACAGTGTTCTCTATTATACGCTTGAACTTCAAACGAAACAATGTCTGCTTCCTAGGATCGACTTTCTATTAACCTCGGCATTGGAATATGAATGCGTCGTTTTCTTGTACAACAATCGCGAGGTTTTTAAACAGCATACATTTACTTCCATAGAGGAGCACAATGCAATAGAACACTAGCTGACGTTTCGGCAGTATCGCCTTCTTCAGAGCCTGGAAGGGTACAATCTACCAGACCAAACGCTTCAATAACACTTACAAAAAGACGGAAAACTCTATGGTAATTACATGTTCAACAGCTTCTTAAAAAACTCACCGCTTTACACGTGACTTCCAATGAGGAAGTTTAGAACAGCTGATTATAGTCGCATGTGGTTGACGACTGCACCATCCCACGTCATAAACCGATGCGAACATACGGGATCAGGTCGCGTATGACCACCGGGCATTCGTCCCTGCTATTCAATGAAGAGTTTTTGGCATTTATCCAAAAAGCCTCAAGAAGTTTTCGAGCTGGTGTTTTGGACTCCTCTGCGAGGATATCGAGGATTTTAGAGTCAATCATATGCGACTATAATCAGCTGTTCCAAACTTCCTCATTGGAAGTCACGAAAAAAGCGACTCTGAAGAAGGTGATACTGCCGAAACGTCAGTTAGTGTTGTATTGCATTGTGTTTCTCTATGGAAATAAATGTATGCTGTTTAAAAACCTCGCGATTGCTGAACAAGAAAACGGCGCATTGTCTGCTTCGCCATAAAAATTCCAATCAATCGAAAATTTTGGCTCACAGGTATAGCCCTACTCACATAAAATTAAGAATCATTGTTACTGAGATTAAACGAGGACTAACTAAATAACTGCTGAGGAAATTAGAAGCAGTAGAAAAAAATTCCCATAACCGACTTTCTGTTAACCTCGGCATTGATTAATAATTCGATGTTCTTCTCCAATAAGCAGACAACGAGGTTGCTATTATACAATTTATTAGAATACAATAGCTGACGTTTCGGCGGTTTCGTCTTCTTCAGAGCCTGGAAAGGTCAAATTGAAATGCGATCTACCCAGCCAAACACTTTCATAACCCCAGCAGATGAAACTTAACAAATATTCTGTTCCTCTTGCCCTTTATTTCGAACGAAATAGGTGCAGCTATAAAACGTTGCTTAATAAGGGCCGGTCTAGAGAATTCCGTAAGAGTGATAGAAATACCACCGGACACTCTAAGACGCCAGCTAGTTCGCAACCGCCTGTACGAGCGTCTATGTACAACAAAAAACTGCATGATTTGCCCAAATGGTAGAGACGGTGATTGCATGAGTTCGGGTACAGTCTATCTGATTTCTTGTAAAGCGCGCGGGAACGAATACGTTGGTGAAAGGGGTAGACCGCTCTGCGTCCGCATAAAAGAACACCTAGCCGGTAAATCTAAATTAAAACAAAATACTCCACTAGCTGCGCATAGGATGCAGGAACACAACGGAGATTTTGAAGTAGGCGTCACTATCCTCAAGCACGAATCGAAAGTATCAGCGCGTAAATTTCTTGAAGCGTTTTGGACCAATTCCAAAAATTCAAAAATGAACCGCAAGGAGGAGTGTCTTGTCATCACGCGTGACCTGGCGCCATACCTCAAGCTAATCCAATGACCTGACAGGGATATTCCTCGCCCATGTATTACTCTATGCGGCGACTATCCATCAACTAACTTAAATACTTACAACAAATAAACGGTAGGTGTTTGAATGAAGCTGTTTCTTATGCGAATGCAAATCGATTTGTTAAGTTTTATCTGCTAGGGTTATGAAAGTGTTTGGCTGGGTAGATCGCATATCAATTTGACCTTTCCAGGCTCTGAAGAAGGCGAAACCGCTGAAACGTCAGCTATTGTATTCTAATAAATTCTATATTAACAACCTCGTGTCTGCTTGTTGAAGAAAAACATCGCTGTGGAAAACAGTCGAGCCAAATTTGCCACTGGAATTTAAATCTGAAACTTAATAATGTTGACTTTTATTTACTTCCTGTTACAATTTTTACCTTAGGATATTATGTGTGATACAACCACAGTGATGCTGAGATATTTGCAAAACTCTGGACCGCACGTGTCTGCTGTTGGGAACGAACGTACTATCACTCTTTCCGGGGAGTGGTGGTGAAGGCATTAGAGCCCAGAAAGGGTAATAACGTGTTCG